TGCACAAATACTGTATTTTACTTGTGTCTTTGGAAACTCATATCTTTCTAAAGAGTGTGAGTTATCTGGGATCATTTTACTATTTGAAAATCAAAGGCAAAAAATATAAGTACAGTGACTCCCTAAGTCACAGAGCCAGTAGGTAAGAGAATCAAGATGCACTCTGAGGTCACTTAACTTCATGGCTGCTCCCCACAACGATCCTGCTAATAAGTGACCAAATCAATAGCAGGGTCTTAAAGTACCTCTGAGTGCGAGGGGTTAGTATGGTAGTGTCTCAAGTACTGTATGAACAATGTGACCTCATGAACCCAGCGTTACTCTCGTGCCAATACTGTATCCTCTCCCAATGAGGTACTGGTGATCTGGAGGTGCAGAACAATCACAGAAAGATGGTGAGGAGTGGGTCCTTGGGTGGGCTTTTTAGGCCAAGCCTTTGACAGGCAGGTCAGGCCCAGGCATGAAATTCACATTTGGATATTTTCTTTTTAACATGGATCTTTTGCCTTTGCCATCTGAATATTACTTGAATGTGAGTCTCTTGTCTGTTCCCTAAGCAGAAAAGGAGCAATATACTCGCCGGCCACGTACCGTGTTTAGCCAAAATCAACTGGCAGTATTGATGGATACCTTTGAGAAGAACACTCATCCAGACACTGATGCTATTCATGAATTGGCATCAAAACTGAATCTTGACGAAGTGGTGATAAAGGTAGGTGCCTGAGTGTGTCTCTAGGTAGTGCACCTGACTTAGAACCTCCCGCAGTCTTTTTTTTTTTTCCCCCCCCCCCGGAGACAGGGTCACACTCCAATTCAGCCTGGTCTTGAACTCATTGTGTAGCCCAGACTCACTATGTAGCCCAGGCTGGCCTGGAATTCAAGGCAGTCCTCCTATCTCAGGCTCCCAAGTGCTGGTATTGCAGTCCTTTGCAACCACACCCAGGTATGTTCACTTTTTTGAAGACGATGAAGGCTCACCCAAAAGACTTGTCTTCCAAGAGTAATCAACACAAGAGCCAGAATTTGCATCCTGGCCCACAACACTACATAGGACCCTTTGAGTCTGGATCTCAGATACTGCCATTTGGGTTGGTTCCCATATGAGCAGCCCACTCTTGTCATTAGCCTAGTGCTGTGAGTCCTAACCTGCTTCCTGGAGATGGGCATTAATCCCTTCCAAAGCCATGTTCTGAGACTAAATTGCTTCTCCTCAGCCTCCACCTCTTAAAGCATATGCCACTTCTCTGGACTGTTACATAGAAGACAAACACCCACCACGTGAATCTTGATTACAAAGTACACCAGGTAGATACCTAGATACTGCTCAGTCAGAACATTCCCAGTCATTCAGACGTCTTCAAATCAATTCCCAGAGGAAATTCGAGGCAAAATCCCTGCATGAACCTGAGGCAGGCCAAGCTACACTCCCGTTCTTGCTCTCACACTTTGGATGTTTTCTCGGGAAACCTTGAGCAATCACTAATACAGGACCACACCCAGCCCCTTTACTTAATCTGTCTTCATTCAGAGTTTGAGTGCTCCATCCTCCTCTACCCATTGGTACTACAACCCATTCACCGCCCCTCCCCCCCGCCCCCCACTTGACCTAATGGGACCCAGAACAGCAGAGGATACAAAGAACTTTCCTGTTCAGAGAAGTCTGAAGCCATTGGAGATTACCTTTCAGACACCTGAACCTCACTTCCTAGGTTGAACATGGAGATTAATCTTTGGACTCATCCATTTTCATTATCCTGTTTCTCTTCTCCCTTTAGAACTGGTTTAAGAACCAGCGGATGAAACAGAAGAAAATCAGGCTAAAAGTGCAAGGAGATGCATCACCTGGAACATCCACACAGCAGGTTTTGGAAGAGAAGGAGCCCCCACTACAAAATCCTGCGACGAATGCCTCACCAATTGCTGGATCTTCAGATGACGGCAACCATGATCCACAGGAGCCCTCTGAGAGCCACATCACCAGAAGAGATGGAGCCCCTGTGTTGAGTTCAGCAGTGGACACTCCGCATGATAACGTCCAGGATACGTGTATGGGGGATTTGGATGTTCCTTGGGCCCACACTCCGGGTGATATAAGTGAATTTGTAGAACTGTACGCCCTGCATGAGGAAGATGATCCCAGCAGCTTCGATGTGTATCTCCCCACCAGGGTGCCTTCAGTGAGGGAGTGAGCATGGCCCCGATGTGCAGGGTGACTTGACACCCACACCTCTGGACACCAGTCCACACGATCAAGCACAGTTGCTGAAGCAGGAGAACTTAAAGACAAACAAGTGGTTCTCAGCCTTGGGAGGTTCCCTCCTCCCAAACAACCCCGTCTTCCCTGTAGCTGTAATTTCTCATTGTGGCACGGATAAAATTGACAACTATGTCCCCTAAACAAGGTTCATCAAACTCTGTTTCCATATATGTCACGAGACAGCGTCTTTACGGTAGATCGCTTGCTATATGTCACTAGGAAAACCTCTCCCTTCCACAAAATGAATAAAAGCTGGAACTTGTCTTTGTCCATCGCTCTTCCCCTGGACAGGAGTCCGTTGAGCCCGGTGTACACCTTCAACCTGAAATAAAGTCCTCCTGTTTCAGTCCCTGGGTCTCCCCAGTCTCTTGAATTCCTGAAACATTACCACCTGATTTGAATCGATAGAGAGTACAGTTTCAGGACTTGGCATTTCACATAAGGAAAAGAACAGCAACTATCTCACTTTCACTGTCGTCTGTCTTTTCTCTATTTGTTTTCAATGCCCCCTCCAACAATTTCAGTATCACATACAGTCCTCATGGGATGCAAGTCAGCAGCACCGTGGGTGGAATTTAGTTAGGCTTTGGATTTTCCCTCACCGTAAGTGCACCGCATAAAACACGCCTGGGTTCTCTGGAAAACATCAGAAACAGCTTTAGGGGCTCCTACGCCTGGGTTGGCTGAGGAAGTATTCACACTGAACAGGCAGGAAAAGCCTAGGCCCATGGTGGCTCCCACCCCACCCTCAGGACAGTGCTACAAAGCTGGTAAGGAATCCCAACACTCTCACGCTCTCTGAGGGGAGAAGCATTTTGAACACACATGCTGCACCCACCTCCACCTTTTCCCTGCCCGACTCTTCAATTTCCTGTCCCCAGAAGTGTAAGCGATAAGGCATATGTGAGTCTCCCCAGGCCACAGAGCAAAGTGGTAGTTTAAATTGGTGCTGAAATAATTTCAGGGCTCTTGTCCACCGGGAGCAGGCTGTGGAAGTGTCTGAAATTCAAATCTCCCACTTTCGCTACAGAAGGGGTTCACCAGGTCACTTCCAAGTGCTCCACACAGCTGATTTCCTCCCTAGACTGATCGGCCAGTTCACTGGGCAGCCAGACTGGTGACGTTAGAGTCTAAACAGAAGTATGGCACTTCTGCAAGCTTCTTCCCTGGTGTAACACGTTAAAAAAAAAAAAAAGAGTCCATCCATACCTCCGGTTAGTTTTCCCTGAACTGAGTGTCCCTTCTTCTGCATCCTGAACTCCATTCTTGGAGCACGGGATGAGTCTCTTTAGATCACAGAACAACCAAGTCACGAAGTCATCTCGGGTGCCAGAAGGACACTGAAGCAGAATGGGACAGTCCTTCCTCAGGGGCCCAAGAGTGAGCAAAGGGGTGTGAGGAGAAGGGGCCTAAGAGCTTTGCACCTCCTCACCACGCCCTCTTCTTGCCCTCTTGGGAAAGGGGGAGAGGTGGGTGATTCTCATCCATCCCACTTCTAGGGGCTACGAATCCCTTTCCCGGGCAGTGCGCAGAGGAGGCTAAAACATACAGCTGCCAGTTTGTCCTCGGACGATTTTGCCATCCCTCTTCCACGCACTGTTCCACGGTCATGCTCCTTACTCGACTGCATCTGGGAGCTCCCAGACCAAACAGTGGGCCTCTGGGTGCCTAAGTGGAAGTTCACACACAAACAGAACCACTGGAATAAACTGATCACTTAAAATATGTTTAAATAAATCCGACCTCTTTCAATTTGTATTAGTGCGTGTTCATATTACATGATGATGGGTGGGGTTTACTCTGAGCTACTCTAAAATGAGATGGGGTCAGGAGCAGTAAATAGCCTCCAGGCTTTATGGAACAGAAACTTCCATATCAGTCACCATGAATTGAGCTCTGACTGTGTGGCAGGCTTTGTAGGATGCAGGGATTCAAGACCCATGACGCAGTCCCTGGACACTGGGTCCCACTAGGGCAGAAGGGAGGCTGAGCAGAAGAGACTGAGAGACAGAGTGGCAGAACCTCCCTGGAGGAGAAAAGGAAAGGAAAAATAGTGTGAGCAACTGTCCAAAAGAGTCACAAAAGGCAATCTGTAAATAGCAGTGTGCCCACTGGGTTCTGAAGCATGAGTACATGTTTTTTTGAGTGACCGATGTAGGTAGCAGGGGAGAAGTGGAAGGACTGAGAGAGCGAGAGGCGGGGCCGTCCCGCCGCCGCCAGTGCAGCCCTGGGAGGAGGAGCACGTCGACGACGCGGAGACCAGTTGGGGTCTCCAGCTACCGAGACGGGACGTCAGGGCCTCGGGGCGATGGAGTGAGGGGGCGTCAGCCAAGGGCACCTCCGCGTCAAGCCAGGCCGAGCCGCTGGCCCGCCCCTGCTTCGCCCGAGGACCCTGCACGCCCCGCCCTGCCGAGTCTCCCCGCAGCCGTCACCCCGCCGCCCCGGGAATGGCCCCTGGGTGAGCTACGCCCGGAGGCGGCCGCGCCCGGGGCGATGCGGAGCAGCAGCGACCCCGCGCTGGGGAGCGGCGGGTGCCTGAGCTGGGCCGACAAGAAGGTGGAGGAGCGCGGCAATTTCCTGCTCTCGACGCCGCGCTCCCTGCTCTTCCTGGCCTCGGCCCCCTGACCGCCGCCGCCTCCGCGTCCTCCTGAGGCCGGGCAGAAGACCTGGCGCTTCGCCCGCGACCCGGGAAGGAGGGCGGCGGCGCGGCGAGGGCGGGGCAGGCTGGCGGAGTAGAGGGCGGGAGCTGGAGCTGCCGCTGGGGGGCGCCGGCGCGGGGCGGGCGGGAGTCCGGTGCGGTCGCCTGGGCCGAGGTGCGCGGAGGACTCGGAGCGCGGGCCCCGCCGGCAGCGCCCTGGCAGCAGCGGCCAAGCTGGCAGCGGCACCGCCAATACCGAGGGCGGGAGGGCGCCCGCAACCGCGAGGCCTCCAAGGGCCGCGGGCGGAACGGCGATGGCGCCGAGCCCCTTCCCCCGAGAGGGCAAGCGGAGCAGCATCCGCGGGCGTCGCCGCTAGAGCGCCTCGGCC